GCTATTAAATTCAGGGAGAGCAGTGTCAGACCCTATGAACACTTTAACAAAAGCATAAGGACTCTAGCCCCAGAGATCTTCCCAAATCCTGATGTGGGTCCAGGGCCCAGATTCTCACAGGGACTTAGGCGCTGTGGAAGCAGACAGCGCCTAACTCCCATTGAAATCACTGAGAGTTAGGTGCCTGAATATGTTTGAAAATCTGGGCCCAACTTTCTAAATTCCTGCTGTACTTTGGACTGGAGAGGATATAACCCTTCACTTCCCATCCTAGATGGCTGCATGCAGTGTTTCAATGTACTATGGAACATGCACTGTGTGTCAAAATATCTGAGTAGCAGCTGACTACAGAAGATTAACATTCAGCATTTTCACCCCCTTCCTTCTTTCTCCTGCTCCTCATCCTCTATTCCCATCTCTCTCCCATGAGAGCTCTCACTGGTCATGTGTCTATATGAATTTACAAGGCCTCTGTGGCTTTGACTTTTGATTGCTGTTCCAGAAACGAATGAGAGGGTAATTGCAATGTAATCATTCCAGCTTAAAAGCAAAAACAGGTGAACCAGAATGCCTGGCAGTGCAAGAGGGCTTGGGCATTACGGGCCAGATTTCCACCCATAATTAGGGCCAGTTTTTCAAAAGCGCTCGGCACTAGTCAGCTCCTGTTGCGACGCTCATGACCAGATTTCCAAAAGAGCCAAGCATCCAATGTGCACCCAATGTACTATGCTCCTTGGATAATCTGGCCCTGTAGGCCTCACTGAACCATGCCAGAAACACACAAATCAATGGGCTCCTGTACTAGCTGGCTCCGCAGCACAGGCGCCAACTTTTCGCGGTGCTGGTGGGTGCTCAACCCCCCCGGCCCCACCCCCTTCTAACCCCTTCCCCAAAGTCCCTGCCCCAACTCCGCCCCCTCCCTGCCCCTATTGGACCCTTTCCCCAAATCCCCGCCTCTTCCCCAAGCGCACGGCGTTCCCTCTCCTCCCCCTCCCTCCCAGTGCTTGCCGCCATGAAACAGCTGTTTCACGGCAGGAAGCGCTGGGAGCTAGGGGGAGAAGTGCAGCCGGGGCGCGCTCAGGGGAGGAGGCGGAGGTGAGTTGGAATGGGGGGGCAGGGTGAGGAGGGGAGCTGCTGGTGGGTGCAGAGCACCCACCAATTTTTCCCTGTGGGTGCTCCAGCCCTGCGGGTGCTCCACGGAGTTGGCGCCTGTGCTCCACAGGGCGGGCAGATTAGATCAGAGTTCCGTAAACAGAGACATCAGTCTCCCAGGATGTCAAGCCAGCATCTTTCACGTACCCATAATTCACAACTATTTTAAATGTATAATCAGAACATTTAAAATATATATTCTTCGTTACCAGGAGGAGCAATTATAACCCGCTGATGTGTGTTACAGATCCCCTGCTGTGCCTGACCCACATAGAGGATGTGGGTCTGTTACAGCCCTCAGCTACAGCCTGGCTTTGCAGCTCAAGCTGTTGAGACTCAAGTTTTTCACCTAGAGGACCCCACTGGTGGCCATCACACAATGGCTTAAAACAACATTATTTCGGTGTGACTTTGCATCCAGTAGCCACAATAGCAGGAAATCCCTCAAATCAGAAATATGACCTGTGCCCTGCTGAGAGGTGGTTATGCTCAGGTTCCTCTATCTCACTGTTCTTAGCTGTGCTGCAGATAAGACTTGACCAGCTTCTGACACCTCACAGCTTTCACATTACTGATTCTTTTTTCCTTCTGGAAAATGCTAGTCACCTTGTATGGATGCTAATCCTGGGATTTTAGAGAGGTTCCAAAATAAGTTAATTAAAAGCAAAATGTCAAGCACCTGACAGAACAGGTTTGCCTTTGTGTTCCTTGTTAGCTTTCTGTGTTCCACGATATCTTATTTTAAATGATGATCCTACTATGCATTTCCTTTCTGTTTAATGCTTACCAATACAAGACCAGCAAAAGAAGGCAGCTGTAGCACAGTGCCTGGTAGAGGGAAAGTACACCACTAAGTGTAATCCACTATACACCCAGGGCCTCAAAACTAAAGTCAGTTTATGCTGTGATCAGGAAAATATACATTGATATGCTTGTGCAAGCCCAGATGTTCACAGATGATGACTCCAACTCAAACCATTACCAGCTATAACCCAGCTAGCACCACGAGGCAACCCACTAGGATGGAATGCAAATGCCGAACACAAAGACCGAACAGCAAAGCAGGCTGGGCTTCTGGTTATGGCTCCAGACTGGAATTCAAGTCATCTCAGTCCAGTTCCCAGCTCTGCTGCAGACTTCCAGTACGACTTTGGGCAAGTCACTGAATCTGCCTGTGCCTGAGCTCTCCCTTGTCTTGTCTATTTAAGCTCCTTCGGGCAAAGACATCTTACTAAATGTGTGTACAGCACCTAGTATATGGGGACCTGATCTCAGTGGGGCTCTCTTGATGTTACCTGAATATATCATATCATATATAATAATGTGGATAGTTTGGTTAATCTATGTCATGTGTCCAGATATTATGGTGGTGGCTTACAGCATTAAAGAAACTAAATACAAGTAACTGAATAGATCAAATTCTAATACAGTTCCCTAAAACCCTTAAAAACCCAGTGCATTCAGGGCCTCAGCAAGCCTGGAGAATACTCTCATGCATTACGTTTGCCATTTCCTTTTTCCTGTGTGAACTGTATGCTATTTTAATTCACACCCTTGTTTGTTTTGTAACTAAATGTTATCTGGGCAAGGACATTATGATAGTTACTTTCATTCACACCTATAACCTATATAGAATGGGACTTAACTGCAGAGAGAGAGAGAGTAGCTAGGGCCTTTATTAATTATTATTATTATGTCTATTACAGTGGTGACTGGAAGCTTCCACTGAGTTTGGGGCCCAGTTATGCTAGACACTGTGCAAACACCCAATGAGACGGTCCCTATTCTGAAGAATTTACAGCATAAACAGGGTAGGAGAAAGGAAATATTATAATTCCCCCATTACAGATGCGAATGGAAGCACAAAGAGATTAAGAGAGGCTCACAAGGAGTCTATGGCACAGCTAGGAATTGAAGCCAGATTGCTTGAATCCTAATCCAGTTCTGTAACAAGACCACCTTTCCTCTCCAGGTCCCAGTCCTATCTGAACCCTCACTCAGGTGAGTAGCCCTTACCCCTGGGTGTAATCCCAGATACAACTCAGAGGAGTAAGAACTACTCACCTGAGATTGAAGGTCTGGGCCCTTAGCTTGGTTAGTTTCAATTGTAACAGGCAAACGTTGTACAAACAACCTGGGCAATGTGACCTTGCACTGCAGCACACCATAAAAATATATTTGGTATCATTCACCTAGCAGCTTATAAAACAAAGATCAGTGCAGGAGAATTGTGTCAGACGAACCCATGGCTAGCTGAGAAAGAGCAAAAAGAAACACAAATTGCCGTGTGAGCCAGTAAGATCACATGCCTGATACACTCCCCCAAGAACAGGCATGTGAGCTTACAGTTGTTAACAACCAGCCACCTTTTTCCCTAGCATCTGCCAGGGCTTGTCACCCTCTCTCCTTACAGCCTTTAGTAGTAGTTCAGGATCACTGTTCACTCTCAGGTGTGCGTTCTGAGTGGTGAAGCCCAGAATGGCCTATGACCTGACAAACTCAGAGATTCTCTTTCTCTCTTCACTATGGCCTTTCTAGCCACATTTGTCCCCAGGACTGAACTTCTGGAGGTCGGCAGTGGAGCACTCACCTTTGCAATTCAGACCCCTGGGCACTTGGCAGATGCTAGGGTGGAGGCAGAGGGCAACTGTTTGACTGAGCCTCTTCCCTATAAGGTCAAGGTCTAGGAGCGCATTTATTATCTGTGGGTAGGGGAGTACTTGGATTGTAAGCTTTTGCGGGCTTTTGTTCTGGGTTCGTATAGCTCCTAGCACAATGGGGCCCTGGTCGAGGACTGGGCCTCATAGGTGCTACAGTAATACAAATAATAAATAACGATGTCGGCAGGGGGTGATTGTGACACAACTGGGTTTTTCCTGCACTCATTCAATACCAATTGTGCTGCTGGGATGGTTTATTACTGACAATGATGGGCAGGATTCATGTTTCTAAATCAATTATGAGAACAACCTCACCCTCGCAAAGCCAGAGGAACAACAATGCACACCTGCCGTCTGCCCTTTCCCTTTGATCCCTGCAACTCTCCCTTTAGTTCTGAGGCCTGACTCTGAGCCAGCAGGCTCCCACTATCTCCTCTGCCCCTCGTTCTGCTTTCCCATGGAGACACTGCAATTCTCCACAGCTGCAGTAAATGGGAGCCCCTACGGTTTTGTGCTGGGTTTTCCCTTGTCTGTGTATGTGACCCAGTCCACACCCAGAAGTAGCTCTGCCTGTCCTCACTGGCTGCAGCCTTTGCTTGCTTAGGTGGGCTTGGTGTAGGTGGAGGGTCTGTACCCCGGTCTCATTCTGAAACAGCTGTTTTACACCACTCTGGGAGCATACAGCAACCGTCAACAGCCCACAAATGGGGAGAATTCCTACACTGGCCCTGCCCCACAAGTGCAGGGTAGTACTGGGGGACATAGGCAGCCCTCAGAGCTGCCTAGGTTTTGCCAGGGGCCATTTCAGCCCCTAGAGCAGCCTTGAATCCAGAAGGCACAAAGTTTGCTAAGGGGAGAGAGAGCTTAGTGGTTTGAGCATTGGCCTTCCTAAACCCAGGGTTGTGAGCTCAGCCCTTGAGGGGGATATAGGGCAAAAATCTGCCTGGGGATTAGTCCTGCTTTGAGCAGGGGATTGGATTAGATGGTCTCCAGAGGTTTCTTCCAATCTTGATGTTCTATGACACCAGGAGACTAAGCACTGGCTCAGACTCACTGACTGTACATGGAATGCCTACTTCCTGTTTTTACTTTCCTGTCTCCTAGGCCTACCCTCCCAACCAATTACCTCTCCTGACACCATACTGCTGGACATTACACTGTCCCTAGGATAAGGGAACAGTCACTTACAGAGCTGTGATTCTGGAGACCTCAGCATCTTCTTGGATTCCTGCCATATAGTTTTGCAGTCTTCCTGGAGCTTGTAAAACCTCTCCTTTCTCCAAGAGCTGGACTTCACTTTCAGCAGCTGGCTGCCCTTCAGGAGGAATATCAGATCCCTGTCATCTTGCAGGCCTGCACAGAAGAGCACTAGCATTAGTATAATAATTAATGTCTATGTATACAGAGCTTTCCATCCAGCAGAATCCCCAAGTCATATACATACACCAATGAAATGCAACCAGCTCTGGGCTGGACACCAGAGAATAATTAGCACAATGTGGAGGGAGAGAGAATTTTGGAAAACACTGCGGCAAACTCCTCCCTTGCAAAACATAAATCTCCAGGATCTTTTTTTCTTTCCCACACAGAGACTGGACCCTTGTTTTTATGGTCTTGTCCAAAAGATCGGCATATAGTAAACCCTGTGATACTCAAATTATCTTCTTCATAAAGGCAGTTTAGATTTTAAAAAGGCAGTGACTAGGATCCAAACAGGGGAGGTATTGTGCTCTACTAGTAGAGAAGAAGAAATAGGGTCTTGTGGTTCAGGCATAGCTCTGAGACTGGAGATTTAAGTTCAAAACCCCGCTCTGCCACAGACTTCCTGTGTGAGACTGGGCAACTCACTTAATCTCTCTGTGCCTCAACTCCCCTGTTATGCAATGGGGATGATAGCATTGTTGTCCCTCATGTGGTGTTGTGAGAATCGATACGGTAGAACCTCAGATTTACAAACCAACCAGTCAACCAAACACCTCATTTCGAACCACAAGTACTCAATCAGGCAGCAGCAGAGACCAAAAAAAAACAAAAAACAGTGCAGTACTGTGTTAAATGTAAACTACTAAAAAAATAAATGGAAAGTTTTACAGAAAGATTTGACAAGGTAAGGAAACTGTTTCTGTGCTTGTTTCATTTACATTAAGATGGTTAAAAGCAGCATTTTCCTTCTGCATACCGGTAGTAAAGTTTCGAAGCTGTATTAAGTCAATGTTCAGTTGTAAACTTTTGAAAGAACAACCATAACGTTTTGTTCAGCGTTATGAACATTTCAGAGTTCTGAACAACCTCCATTCCCGAGGTGTTTGTAACTCTGAGGTTCTACTTAGGGCTGTCGATTAATCGCAGTTAATTCACGAAATTAACTCAAAAAAATAAATCGCGATTAATCGCAGTTTTAATCGCCCTGTTAAACAATAGAATACTGATTGAAATGTATTAAATATTTTGGATGTTTTTCTACATTTTCAAGTGTATTGATTTCAATTACAACACAGAATACAAAGTGTACAGTGCTCACCTTATATTATTTTTATTACAGTTATTTGCACTGTAAAAATGATAAATTAAATAGTATTTTTCAATTCACCTCATACAAGTACCATAGTGCAGTGTTTTTCAAACCATGGGTCGCGGCCCAGTACTGGGTCGTGGCATGTAAGGCACTGGGTCGCCTTGCACTGATCAGCACTGCCGACCGGGACGTTAAAAGTCCTGTCAGCGGTGCTGCTCATCGAAGGCAGGCTAGTGCCTACCTTTTCCGACACCGCACTTTGCCCTGGAAGTGGCCAGCAGCAGGTCCCGCTTCTAGGCCACGGGACTCCATGCGCTGCCCCCACCCCAAGAACCGGCTCTGCACTCCCATTGGCCGGGGGGGCGGTGCCTGTGGGCGAGAGTCATGCAAAGCCACTTGTGAGCCTGCGCCTAGGAGCCAGACCTGTTGCTGGCCGCTTCTGGGGCGCAGTGCGGTCCACGGTGCCAGGACAGGTGGGAAGCCTGCCTCTGCACCCCGGCTGTGCCGCTGACCGGGAGCCGCCAGAGCTGAGTCCATGCGCCAACCCTGCACTCCAATCCCCAGCCCTGAGCCCCCCCAAACCCAGAGCCCCCTCCTGCACCCCAAACCCCCCATCCCCGCCCCAGCCCAGAGCCCTGACCCCCCCACACCCCAACCTGCTGCCCCAGCCCTGAGCCCCCCAAACCCAGAGCCCCCTCCTGCACCCCAAGCCCCTCATCCCTGGCTCCATCCCAGAGCCTGCACCCCCAGCCCAGAAAAAAAAAACGAATGTTTAGCACATCTGGCCCGTAAATACCTTGCAATCCTGGCTACAAAATTGCCATGCAAACATCTGTTCTCACTTTCAGGTGTCATAAATAAGAAGTGGGCAGCATTATGTCCCGTAAATGTAAACAAACTTGTTTGTCTGAGTGATTGGCTGAACAAGAAGTAGGACTGAGTGGACTTATAGGCTCTAAAGTTTTACATTGCAGTTATTTTTTGTATAAAAATAAAACATTCATAATTCTACATTTGTAAGTTCAACTTTCATGATAAAGAGATTGCACTACAGTAAAGTGAATTGAAAAATACTATTTTTTATTTTTACAGCACAAGTATTTATAATAAAAATAAATATAAAGTGAGCACTGTACACTTTGTATTCTGTGTTGTAATTGAAATCAATATATTTGAAAATGTGGAAAACATCCATAAATATTTATATAAATAGTATTCTATTATTGTTTAACAGTGCGATTAATCGCGATTAACTTTTTTAATCGCTTGACAGCCCTACTTCTACTGTACAATGAAGACTATGACATATCAAGATATTATAGTAATGGACAGCCACATACATATGAGGATAGACAGAGAGTGTTTCCCGCTCATTGTTTGTACAGCACCTAGCACAGTGGAGCCCTGATCTTGGTTGGGACACCTAGACACCATTGTAAATGAAAGTCAAAATAATCTGAACCTGGGATTCCAGAGACAATAGAAATTCTCAACCTAATGCTTAGACCACTAAGCTATTTCCTTTGGGGGAAACCAGATGGCAGAACATTATAATGAACACTATGGAGTGTGTGTGTTGGGCAGAACATAGGAATGGGAGATGATGACAACAACGTCTTAGTTCTCCAGACACAGTATGTGTCAGTTTTGAGGCATCATGCACACCTCTGGCCCAATATAAAAAGCCACAATCCAGAGCTGGTTAAACACCACTTAACTCCTTGGCACTAGTCAAATGCACCCCCATTAAGTCGAATTTTTGCCAACATCTTCCTGATTAAGCAGCACTCACTAGTATTCACAGTCATCAGAATAATTCAGTTCCCTAAGACACTTCCCCGTGCTACTTAATGCAGCATAATGGTCATTCCAGCAGTGTGATTCATAACAGATAAAAAGGAATTTGAGCTAGGCTATGGGATAGTAATGTGATTGTCGCGCAGATTTCCATTGTGTCATTAACTTAGTTCCTGCTTTAAACATACAGCTGATGTGAGCCGTTGCCCTCTGGAAGGGGCTGGTAACCAGGGTGGATAAAAATCAATGATTTAAAAAAAATCATTTAAATCTGATCGTTTTAATTAAGATACATTATAGCTCAAAGATCTCGCATCGTGGAATAGGGATTATAAATTCTAATTCTATAGTCTGAGGCCTTGGCTACACTGGCAATTCACAGCGCTGCACTTGCTGCGCTCAGGGGTGTGAAAAAACACCCTCCCTCCCCCCGAGCGCAGCGAGTGCAGCGCTGTAAAGCGCCAGTGTAATCAGCGCCTGCAGCACTGCAAGCTATTCCCCGCGGAGAGGTGGAGTACTTGCAGCGCTGCGAGAGAGCTCTCGCAGTGCTGGCGGCGCGACTACACTCGCGCTTCACAGCGCTGCCGCAGCAGCACTGTGAATCCGCGAGTGTAGCCAAGGCCTGAGACAACATATTCATGTCATGTGTAAGAAAAGTTTTGTAAATGAGTTCCAATAGTTCATGGATTAGGGACCCAATATTATGGGGTTCCAGGGGCTTCTGTATAGATTATTTAGGTAGGACTACCATACGTCCGGATTTCCCCGGACATGTCTGGCTTTTCGATCTATAAATAGCCGTCCGGGGGGGGGAATTTCTAAAAATGTCCGGGATTTCCCCCGGTCGGCTATTTATAGATCGAAAAGCGGCAGCCAAGCGCCACTTGGCAGCCAAAGCCCCTTCCCGGCTCCCCCCATCCCCTGCAGCCTTAGCACGCCGTCCTGCCCGGCAGCTGTCTTCCCCCTCCTCCCCTCCCCTGAATGCTCCGCCCCCTGCTCCTCCCCCTCCCCTGCTTCCCACGAATCAGATGTTCGCGGGAAGCCTGAAAAGAAGCAGGGGCAGGCGGGCAGCAGCAGGTAAGCTGGGGCAAGGGGGGGGGACGCGAGGAGGAGGGCTCCGGGGAGAGGCGGTGCGGCTCCCTCTGGCCCCGGCCGACCCCCAGTGGCTCCGGCCCGGCTCGGCTTGGGCCCCGGGGCACCGGCCGAGCGCACCGGCCCGGCCCAGCAGCGCCGGCCGAGCACCCCCAGCCCGGCCCCAGCAGTTCCAGCCCCGACCCCAGCGGCTCCGGCCCCGGCTCGGGCCCCAGGGCTGCGGCCCCGGTTCCAGCCGAGCGCGCCAGTCCC